CTGGGACTGCTTCTCACTCGTGACATGGGCTCCTGCCTATCTCCGGGTTTGGTCCATGCTCCTTTTTGTATCTGGAAGCAGTAGGCACCAAAGCTGGGGCATCAAGCCTGGTCTGCAGCCCCCTCCTCTCTCTTCTCAAGGCATTGCCGGGAGGGCACCGGCGCTGCGATGGGAAGAGCCTGAGTCATGCCACAGAGCGACCTGGGCGAACATCGCTGGGTCCCTGACCCCGGCCTCGGGCAAGCAAGCAGCTGCATCATGTAATCCCCTTCCAAAACTGAGTGCACTCTCTTATCAACAAATTAGATTTTTTGTGTGTGTGTGGTTTGGGTTTTTTTTTCCTTCCCTTCATCTCTTTTCGGAAAGCTGCTCATCCTATGCAATGCTGGGAGATTGCTCCCTCTGGGAGCACGTTATTGCCCACTAGCCCTTTCCCACAGCTGGTATCCTCGCCCCTGGCTTTCTTTGCTCAGCCAAATTTCCTGTTCCTCTCCCAGCCCTCAGTTCTGCTGGAGGAAGGGGGCAGGCAGGCAGATAGGCAGGCAGGGAGCCTGCATGTCCCCTTCCCCACATGTGCCCCAAAGCACAGCACAGAAGACAAAAGCAGAACCAAAAAGGGGACAGTGGACAAAACACTTTGCTGTGAGTTTTTCAATATAAACCTGATGCCAGTGAGGAAAGGGAAGTGACGTTGTTACAGTAATAAGCCTGAGGAGTATCAGCTGCTATTGATGAGGACAAGAGAAAGGGCACCTTTGCATGCAGTTAATATTTCTTACTTACTTTCTTATTGGAGGAAAAGCAAATAGCTTGGCTGTGCTGCCTGCCACAAGTGGCCAATCTCTTTTTCCCAATTAGAGTGCTTTTTTGAGTCATGCAGCCTCGTCACACCAAACACAGCAACCCTTTCCTCGTTCATATGGGGAAAAATCCTTCTTGCTCCCTTTCAGGTAAGATATAAACAGGTATCAAGCGCAGAGTTTCTCTCCACTTTTACTTGACTTAAGCTGTGTCTCTGCAACCTGCAGTGGAGCCCTGTCACTCCGGTGACAATCACTGAGGGGATGCCATTGTCCCCCTACACGGGCATGGAGATACACATTTGGGGGAGTAGACTGGGAATAATGAAAACACTGCACTCCGCAACTGAGGCACTTAAGACTTAAGCACCCACACATGGATGCTGTGGGCAGCGCAGGCAGGCAGGATATGGCCCCAAAGGGGCTGCAGCAGGTTTCCCCTCAAGGTACAACTGCCATAGCCATTGCCCTGAGTTGTGCCGGCAGCTAGCCAGGTGTGCTTGCACTGCTGGGACACTTCCATGGCCACCCCCATCCTTCAAGCCTGGCCAGCACAGCAGACAGCATCTACACTCTCTTCTAATAAAGCAAACCACTGGGAAATATCATTTCATCTGATAACTGCAAAAATATTATCTTCTGACCAGAAATCGTGTTTTCTTGGAAGTTTTTCAACCAACTCCCCTGCAGCCCCTGGCATCTAAAGCCATCAGGCTGGCCAGACACAGGAGCCCCTCTTCCTACAGCAATGGTGAAGGAGTTTTCATGTCAATTACTTTAATTATCTCATCTAGAATAACACACTTTCCGCCAAGATCTTTCCAAAAGCTAAAACAGAATGGGGAAACAGACATTTCTGCCACAGCAAAATTCACACACTGCTCAGCAAGCTGCAGCGCTGGGCAGCTTTGGCTCTGCTCAGTGATTGTTGGCATAGCCTCAAATTTGTTTATATTGTTAGTTTTTAACAATGCTGCATTGCGAAGACATGCCAGCAGCAATAAAACCAAGAGAGAGCTGGTTTTGGCTGGAAAATTAGAACAACAAAGAATATACATATATATATATATATTCTTTGTTGTTCTTATATATATTCTTGTTATATATGTTCATGTGTGTGTTTATACGTGTATATACGCATATATACATATATATACATATATGAACATATATATATAAAACCCAGCCTGTCCCTGCTGCGTAGGCGAATCCTGCAGCCTGGCAGACACCATTAAGCACTAATACAATTAAATGATGAACTAGAGGGATAACTTCGGCTGTATTTTGGAAGATCACACTCCCATTCACAATCTCATCCGGAGCTTTTGAATTACAAACTGCAAAAATTCCTACCCAGGAAATGCTTGCATTGCCCAGCGCTAAGTTGAGACCCATCTCCTAATTCAGGATCGGGTAGCTCAGCCTCATTTCACTCCAAAGCGTGCCCAGAAATTCAACATGAATTCATGTTGAATACTCCCTTTTCACAGAGTAGTGAGGCTGGGGTAATAAAAACTAAAAAGAAAGAGAATAATAGAGACGACAAAGTGGAAAAAAACACCCTTGCCTTGCTCCGAGGTGGCTGGTTCTGCGCGGGCCTCGCTGTGGCTCCGGGATGCGGCAGTGAGCGGAGAGCTGGAGCGGCAGAGCCCACCCAGCGCTCGCCATGGGAGCGCACGGGCGAGGCCAGAGGGAACCCAGCTCTACCCAAGGCAGGGACACAGCGTTAATTGTGTCAGTGCTATTGCACAACACTGTTGCCTTGACACTGTGTCATGTAAAGATTTTAAACTGCCTCTTTATTAGTCATCCTCTATTCATTTTAATTGTGCCTGATAAGCAGGGCCATTTCACCTTTGTGTTCTCTGTACGTACTTATCCTGCGTATTTGTGTCACCCAAGAGACTTTCAATCTCTTCCTGTAGTGCTGGTAGATGCAGAGGAATGAAGTGCCATTGCCATCAAAGCCTGCTGGGGTTCTCACCTGTTTGCTTGCTACTTTTTCAGACCCCTGCTCTCCCATTGTGGACATCTCCACAGGTCCTTGCTCCTAGCACTGAAAATGTTCAGGCAGAGGCTTAGATTAATGCATGGGAACCAGTAAGAAGGGATTGGCTGATTGAAACATGCATTTAATTTTTTTCAGGATCAAGTACTGTAGGTGTATGCTTAACACCACAGGACTCACTTTGATCTTCTCCAAGGACAGAACTTTTTGTGGATTAAATTCTTGCCTCTGAATTATGGTATTGGTTATTTAACAAAATCAAAGCTGGGGCATGAATAACTAACTACTGGATTTAATATAAAGAATATAGTGAAAGTTTGTGGAATATTTTAGTCTCATTTACTTGCAACATAAAAATATACTGCCCAAGAGTTTGCCCGTGTGAACTCTGTCCCTGCAATTCCTTATCTAGCCTTATCTTTGTGAGGTCTGAACTTTCACTGAAAACTCCTGGAAATAGCAGTGCATTTTCCTTTCTGTGGTATGGTGACCTTTTCCTCATCCCAAACATCAATTGCACTTGTGGTGGGGAGAAGGAAGGGCACTTGGGTCAGGCACAACGCTGCCACCTGTAAGCACAGCACAGCCAGGTGACGCAGCAGCTTCCCCGGCAGCCAGAGCACTGCTGGCACTGCTGCTGTGCTGCTGGGACTGTTTGCTTAGAGCTCACGTCTCTGCTTCAGGCAACACCCAACAATTAGGAGCCCTTTTCCGTCTGGAGATGTATTGGGGCTTATTTAGTTTCACCTTAATTTTCCCCATTTAAAAAGACTCAAAAATAGAATTCAGGTTTGCGCCACAGTCATGTGAGGAGATGGGTAAAATCCCATTCTCATTTAAGTTCAGAAAAAGGAACGGAAACTCCATTAAAAGCAGAGCAAAAACCACATTTACTCCACTGTGAACAGGATTTCCCCCTTAGCACAAAATCTTGCATTCCAGTGGGCTAGAAGGAGCTACTTACTCTCCTACCCAGCATCTTCGAGGGCCACTTGGAATCTTTATGCAACTGCTTTAAAGGATTAGGAACATATATGAGTTAATCACCATTTAGGACAAAATTCCACCTAAGCCTTTGAGAACCAGCTAGAATATTTGCATTTCCATCACCCAGCACCTTATTTTGTAGAAAATAAATGGTTTAAATGGTTCTTAGAGAAGCAAGAGTGGTATCCAAACTTTGGGTGTGTTTAAGGCTCTGTATTTCCTTGTGCGGGAGTAATACCATGGCCAGATAAATGAATGTATTTATTTGAAAACCTGAGAGGTGCCCAAGTCAGATTTTTGGCCTGGAAAAAGATTAAAGAATACTTTTAATGTGGCTGATCATACTGCCAATGATAATTATTATTTTTGTAATAGAAAAAGCGTTCTCTCTTAACTGCAGTACAATATTTTCTGATAAGTATGCTTGTGATCTGTTATTCTACCTAACTCAAACAAGGGAGGGGGGAAAACTTGCACAAACAAGAGCATGTCTGCCGCCTTCTGCCCACATCCTTTCATGAGAGCATACAAGCTAAAGCTAAAGCTCTTTGACCACATTTTAACTTGATCCCCTAGGATAACGTACCTAAGAATTAATTTTCTTTGATGCTGGGTTCATATCTTCTGGAGACTGTGCTGAAGACAAATGCAGGCTGCTGCATTTAAATATGGGTTAAGTCACCTCTGATTAGTATAATCAGCTACTGAGAGGCCTCTTGAACGGGGATATAAAATAGAAACTTAATAATTATGTTAAAGGCCCAAATCCCCCTGAATTCAGCAGGCAGAGGACAAATGGCAGAGGGAGCATTAGGCAACAGCAACAGCTGTAGTAGTGCCCATGGGCAAAGCACAGAGGAAGAACAGACAAGTCAGTACAGAATTACTGTCCCTCATCTGCAGGTGCATCCTTCCTAGTAAATCACAGTGGTTACCACTTAGCACATTAAATCCACGTTGATAAACATGGATATTTCCTATTAATACTTATGCTGATGCTAAGCTTTATTCATACAAGATGGTAATGCTTCAAAGCTTCTCTCTACTACTTGTCCATTCTGTTATTCTATACACAGCAGTCGGGAATTGTGAAGGTCAACTGTTCCTTGCACTGAAAGTTTCCACTTCTTCTCTTGAGCCTTTACCCAGAGCAGATGCAATGGTGACATCATCACCTTATGGAGTTTTCAACATCCTGAGTCAGAGCAGCAATGACTGACTCCTGAACAAGACCCAGTGAGCTCCTGACCAAACACGGCAGAGGGAAAGCTGTCCTTGTCACCTGAACTTCCTACTATAACCCAGGGTGTGACCAGACCCCCAGGTTGGACATTTGGGTGACAAAGAACACACATGTTGGGAAGGCTGTGCTGGGACAGGAGCTGCCTCCATCCATACTTTCCCATCTACTCCCAGCTACTGCCACTCACCTCCACTGTTCTGCCTGGACTGGGCTGCAGCCAGAGGGCTCCCAACTACATCCTAATCTCCGTCCAAAATTGGGTAACAGGGTTGGAGAGTGGCATTCGGATGGCTGTGACTTGCAGGCACAAAGTAGGGCAGTTCCAGTGGCCCCGCTCACCCCCTGTGCAGCCTTGCTGGCGGGGAGACCTCCCTCAGCAAGACGACCTGAAACAAGGGGCTGGGAGAAGCTACTGCCCAATTTCACTTTGTAAGGAAGGTAACATCTTCCTTTCCAAGACAAAGGCCAGGCATAGTTTGACAGTTGGATTATAAATGTCAAGCTGTGGCTTTTTAAGCACAGGCTGTGCAGGTGGTTCTTTAGAAGAACTAAGCAGCCTGATTGTCTTGAGGGACCACTGACAACACAACTCAGACACTGAAAAGGACAGAAGCCTGAAGCACAAGCCCTAAGGCAGAGCTCTCCAAACACCTCCCTTAATGGTCTTATAGGATAAACAGGAAAGAAAATGTGTGTCCTTTATCCCAAGTGCACCAAAGTCAACAGGGTTCTCGGGTAACTTCCACTGTTTTCCACTGGTTTTTTCTGCCTTTTTTTGAAAACACAGAAACCTCAATAAGTTCATGAATGCATAAAACAAGTGACCTGATAGTCAACAGAGATTTTACCCAGAGAGCAGGATGGATTGAAAGCATCACATGTTGCTGAGGCTGTGCCACTCTGCTCATACCTGAACAAAAGCAAGTTAAATCGTAAGTCTGTGAGACTTTATCACTGTGTTTCTATCACAAAATCATACTGAAATGTGTCAAAAAATATTCAGAACTGCGTGGGATATTATTGCACTCTCTACTCACAGAAAAGCACATGGTTTTTCTGGGCACAGGGGAGGTGCTGAACACCATCAGTGAATTGACTATGATTCTGGAAACTAGTATTATGTGACAGATTTTGTCTACAAGCAGTGTTGCAAAAAGTCAGTCCTAATAAGTAAAAATGAACCTCTGACTAACCTGGTGAAATCAGGTTCTATTATGCAGCTCTAAGTGCATTTTTGCGTGTCTACAGAAAATGATTATACAAGACAGTTGGAGTTTCCTCATCTAAACAGGAATATCAAGATCAGTTTTGGTCAGGGCTTGTGAATGAAGGGCTGGGATTGGAGAGAGGAGCTGCCTAATGACCAAGCTTGTCATGAAACTCAGGAAATGTTTTACAGAAGTTAGATATGGGAAATGGATTGCAGTTTTTTCCTTTGGACAGCTTGTCTCTTTACTTGGCCCAGATATGATGGTGACCATGTGGGCGGTTATGTACTGCCACACTTCTCATCCTGACCCCAAACCTTTCATTGCACCCCTGAATGTCTTAGAATCAAATTCTTCTGGTCTTCTCCTCATCAAGAAACCCCCTTTGCCTTCTTACTCCAGGGGAGCATCCATTTTCTCTGGTGAGCCAAGCAGCACCTTCCTGGCACATTTACAGGCAGCCAGATGAGCCTGAAGAGGTGAGTTTTGTTTTGTTTTGTGTGGATTTGGGCTTTTTGTTGGGTTTTTTTTTGCATTCAGCACAGGATACAAACAATATGGTCCTGCAAAGCAGAGCCCAGGGGTTCTTAGAGCACTGAAAAACACTGTTTAGGAAAATGCTAGCTTACAACAAATTACTTTTCATTAAAGGAAAAGACTATTTTTCTTTGGAGCATCATTGCTGTTATAGTGACATCTAGTTCCCCTGAGTTTTCATCCTTCTCTTGTCCATGTAATACTTCTGCCTGCCCTTAACACTGCTGGCGGTGCTAGTTTGCAGAATAAATCAATTCAACCAAGGAAAAAACAAGAGCAAGAGACTTGGAAAACAAATTTTTAAAAGTTTTCTTGTAGAGCTTCAGTCCTTTCACTTGCAGAACACAAGTGACCTGCATTAGGCAGCACTCACACAAAGCTCTACAAAAGCAGCACTCACTGCGGGTTTGCTGCCCTGTCATCATCTCCTTCAGTTAATTCAGACACCACGCAGCACTACGTACATGGCACAGATAGTGTCACTAGCACAGCAACTGGTGGGTGAATCATAATGAAACTATGAAGAGGAAACATGTCACAAGCCGAAGGAAACACTTGCCTTTCAGTGTTTCATCTCCAGCAGAGTGCTGAAGTTAAGGATGCTGATGAGAGAAATAACTTGTGCCCTGGTCACTAGACGAAGCTTTTTATGCAGTTATTTACTGGTTCTGTTGCCATGGGAAATACGAATACTTGCCATGACAACTGGAGCACTGTGACACACATTCCACTTCACACAGAGCATCTTCCTAAGGACTCGCTCCCATTCATACATCCTACAAAATTCTGTGTCCAATTAAGTATAGGTTTTTCAGACACAGTGATTAATTCTTCTGCATTTTATGGTGGGATATTTCCTGGTGTATAATATTATCTATTATTTGGTACTTACACGCCCCTTTCAGTATTACATCTGAAAATGCCTTGCAAAGGTAATCCTTACAAAAAACCTCTGCTTATTTTACGATGAGCAATTCAGGTACAAAAATTTCCCGTGAGGCCCCACAGCACAGCAGGGTTAAGACTAGCATTTGCACCCACACCTCCTGGGCCAGTACCTTAGCATGGCTCTCACTGCAAGAAGATGGAATGAACTCTGCAGCCAAAAGCTGCACCATCAGGGCAGACCAGCTGCTGGGGAAAACTTCAGCGAGCTCAGTGCATCTCTACCTCTGATCAAACAGGAACAACTCACCACAGTCCTCTCCTTGAACCCTTGTTTGTGGTGTACCTGGGTGGCTGCATGACTGCTGGACACCGTAGGCAGTTTGGGGATGGAGGGCACTCCCTGTGCCAGCCAGCCCACTGCAGGGAAAGGATTACATGCCCTGTAGCACTTGTTCCAGAAGAGGCTTCTGAAAACACCTTTCCCCATTCACATGGAGCAGTTGTGGCATGCTGCCACTGATCAGAGCTATGCACTAAAACAAAGCACACACAGTCCTTGCTGTGTTCGTCCTGGTCAACCTGCAGCTCTAAACAACCTGCAAGCCCACACTTCCCTTTGGCAGATGTGCTTCCTCATGCCAAACCTTGTGTGGCTCCCCAACAGGCACAGCCTGTGACACAGGGTGAGCAAATGCCACCAAGTTGGATGTAGGTTGCATTTACTTTATCATAAGAACTGACTGAAGCTCTGCCCTGCCTGGGCCAACTAGTGGAGCGTGGAGTTTTCTAAAGTTATTTGCCTTAAAATAATTTCTGGAGGTTAAAAAAAAAGCCCAACGAATTGTGATCAAGAGTTATGAGTAACCTGAAACACCAAGAATGTGCTCAGAGTAAATATGTGGCTGAGAAAACCATTACCAACACAAACGATAATTATTCTGGCTATTTACCTCTTAACCTTGCCAGACATGTTCAAAAGTGCATAACAAGTGACATCTCTCCTTTATCACAAGGTTTAGCCCAGAGGGAAATTCTCTTCCTTTTAGTTACCGATGTTAATGATGTTGCTTTTGGCTTTGGATCTATTTCCCTACTTTAAAAAACAGCATTGACAAGTTTTTTCCACTGTTTAATTCGTGTAGTCACAGTAATTAAATGTGAATCTTCAAATATTCCTTGACATATTGTAGATTTATCATCAGTGAAACAGTCTTCTGCCCATTTCCATAATTGCTGCTGTTCAGAACAAAATGGTTATGTGCTGAAAGACTGACAATTTTCTCCTTTTGGTGAAGTTCTCAGTTGTTTGCCCTTTTGGCAGTGCTGTATAGGAATTTCATTTCATAATTAAATTAGTTTCCACTCACATATGGAAGCAATAGTTTACTTTACAATTATTATTTTTTTCATTTTAAAGTGTTTCTTAAGATGTGGAATCCAATATGTACTGCAAGGAGCCAACATATCCTTTAACAGCATCTTAGGAAATGCTGCTCATGTGCGGCCCCAAGTGAATAACAGAACCATATAAATCACTTAGATACTTCAGTTGAATACAGTGGCCTTGATGGCCAAGAAAGAGTTTTGCCTGATCTGTGCCTTTAACCCTTCCTGCTTCTGTGGGTGGTAAATTTTGCAAAGAATTAACAGTGACTTCAGGCCTTTGTTCAGATTGAAAGGTTGGGATTTTTCCACACTGAACACTTTTATGTAATGACTGCCCACCAGCTCCACGTGTTTGCTTTGACTTGTATTCCCTGGACAGACCAGTTTTGCACTAAAGAGGAAAGATGAAAGGGGAAGTATTTTGGGGCACTCATAAGCCCTGACAGGAGCAGCCTGTGTGATTTCCGTGCCTCAAAAAGTGCTGGGGTGATGTGCTCTCCATCCCAACTCCCCGAGCAGGTGGCTGATTAAATGTTACCTGCCCGTCAATCATGCTGTTACACAAGCTGATCTAATAGTCTCTGCTTAACTGTTCACACATTTGTATCTGCTTAGAAACCTTTCTGGCTGTCTTCCCTTCAGTAAATAAATATGTAGCTTCTTGTGAATAAAGTCATATCAGATTGAAGAAACCTCTTAAGAATGGCTGAAGTATGAGAACCAGTACAAAAAACTGCAGACAGGTCGAAATACTGAAAGTGATAAGAAGACCCAATTAAGTTTTTCACTGAAAATCAGTGTTTCATTCTAGGGGCCAGGTTACCCTTTCATCTATAAGGATGAGAAAGGAACAAGCTGTTCCTGTTGCAGGTACTTTCATAAATCCTCAGCAAGCACAGCCCTCTGTGTCTCACCACCCCGCTGTTTCTGAGTGGCATGGGCACTGCAGTCACTCCTCAACACATCTGGAGTCAGTGCTGAGAACATAGTGCCTCCAGTGACAGTGGTGGAGAGGGAGAACAGAGGTCAAAAAAGTGACCATTGTGTTAGGAGGAAGTAAAGAGTTTTTCAAGCCATGATTAAGCCCAAACTTTTCACTGCCTGCCTGTGTATGCCCAGGACCCACCGCTGGTGCCTGGGCTGGAGCAACAGCCCTCCTGATTCAACCAGGCCTGCAGCTCCTGCCCTCCTGGCGGAGGATGCAGCATGTGGTCCCATGCAGATCCTGCATTCCTCATCACGTCTCAGTGTTTCATCACAGTCCCTGTGTGCTTGGAGAGCATCTCTTAATTTCACAGAATCAGTCCTCTTTGAAAAGCAGCTTCCATCACAGATTAGTGAGCATGAGACTACAGCTTTGGGGTTCTTTTGAACCTTCATACTTCAGTACAGAAGGTTTGAGCCACAGCTGGTGGTGAGGATGGGCAAGACATGTTTTCCTCTAAAAGAAGGACTTAGAGTTTGAGGTGCTGAACTGATTGACTTTGTTATTTCCTACTTGCCACAGGCAAAACCCACTGTCCACATGAACATCAGGTGCCTTTACTATCACTGACCAAAACAGTCTGGGGCCAGGGAGCAACCAAATGATCTCTGGGGAAGGTGTCCTCCTCCTCCCTCCGTGAGGACATGGAGATCTCCCTGGGCATGGCCAACATTCAGCTGCGCGTTTCTATTTCAGGTCTCGGCTGCTGGAGCTGGCTGGAGCAGTTGATCGGCTTACCTACTGTCCTGCCAGGATCAGGGCTTGAATGAGGGCAAGCTGGCTGTGACCCAACCCAGATAAGTCTAAGGGTGTGCTGACAGGCTAGGGAAGAGAGGGAGCTGGGAGAACTTCTGCTCTCTGTGACAATTACTTGCTTTTTATTGTTCAGATTTTCAGACCCGGGGATCTCAGTGTACTGGCTTCTGCCCATCAATTAATTATGAAAAGAATGAAAGATGGTCTGTTTGCTTTTTTTGGGCTGCTTTTCTGGATCAGAAGAGAACCCACTCTTCTGAACATGGGTCTTTCAAGTCATCTTTCCAAGTCATCTAGACAGTGCACTTCAAAAATCCAGGCTACTCTCATCACTGTGCCTGACCAGGAGCAATGTGAGCTTTCCTCCGCCCAGGCCAAAGCAGAGATTTGAATGTGCAGCTTCCCCTGCTCACAACAGCTGCAGCACTAACACACTGCACAGTAAATGGAAATAAGATGCAAAAGCATTTGAATCCTGTGCAGTGGGTGCTGGAAATCTGGTTATCCACAGGGCAGACTTCATCCCGAGTCTGACTGGCAGAGCTAAGGCATCCCAGATAGTAATTCTTTTTCATCCTTGAAAGAATCATTTCCTCCTTTATGTAGCTTTTCTGCTGCTCACAGCTACAAAGGGACAGCCCTTTTAGCCAGGCCTGTTGTCAGGGCACAAAGGGTAAGGGCTTTAAACTAAAAAAACCATCAGTTTAGACTACAAGTTTTTTACAATGAGGATGGTGAAACACTGGCAGAAGTTGCCCAGAGAGGTTGTAGGTGCCCCATCCCCAGAAACATTCAAGGTCAGGTTGGAGGGGGCTCTGAGCAACCTGATCTACTTGAAGATGCCCCTGCAGTGCAGGAGGGTTGGACAAAATGACCTTTAAAGGTCCTTTCCAACCCAAACTATTCTATGAGTCAATGATCCTATGACTTAATGTCTCTGTATCGTGACCTTTCCTCATTCAAATGAGTGGAAGCAAATTAACATTTTGCTTGATCTAACAAACAAGAGCCCGGATGCAAATGCTAGAAACAAATACTGAAATTTTTCACAGAGCAAAACTGTCTGGGTGGGACTTGTGGCCTCCTTGCGGTGGCCTATTTAAGCATGACCTCTAAGGCTGAAAAGAGTTGCCTTGGAGAGTGTTTTGGAATAATATACACTGTTGATCAGTCAAGGTGAGACACTGAACTTTGCACAAGTCGGACACTTGTAAAAATAAGGCTTCACAATGAGGCAATACTTTTTTATTACCAAACTATTATTGCTTACACTTCCCAGAGGGAGAGAAGAGGTATCCCTTCCTTCATGAGGTCTGATGGGGAGAGAATTTTTCTTAAAATCCTCTCAGAATGGTAACAGAAGGGACCTTTGCTTCTGTGTCCTCATAAAACTTATAATGGGCAAAATTTTAAAGGGAACTAAGCCTTTGTGAAAATCAACTCTCTTTTGTAACGAGAGGAGAGAACAGTGCCATGAAGAAGCTCACTCTCTTAGGCTCCCCTGCATGTTGGAGCACTGGATTTAATTTTTTGGGACTGCAGGGCCTGAGTTGTATTTTTAGATTAGCTTGGAAGGTATAACCAAGATTTCCAGCCAGGCGTACGACTGCATTTTGTGTGCAATTCAAAATGGGAGAAATTAATGCTATATCCTTTGACTGAACAAAAAGACAACAGAAATCTTCAGGCAGAATTCTCTTTTTAGATCTACCTACGCTGTGCACAGTGATGGCAAAGAACAGCATCTTCTGTGCTGCTTGCAGGAAGAATGCAGCTTGAAAACAGATGCCCAAAGCATGTATCTTAGAAGAATATATTTAGCCTAGAAGTATTTCAGACTGAGAAGTGATAGTGCAAAATACATTTTCCTTGCCAGTACAATTTTAGTAAATAAGGAGGAAAATTTTATCCTACTTACTATCATAATCTGGTTAAAGTGGGAATGAAGGAGTAGCTTTGGGTGTGCATTAATAAGAAGTACTGTGACACTCAGTATACTCAAGCTCATAGATCTTAATTTCTGATTCGATGGTTAATAAATGGAGCAGAGCTTTCAGTTTTAAGACATTTTGGGGAAAAGGAACAGGTAAAGCCCAGGAGTCTGAATTTTGCTCAGTTAGTTTATCAGGTAGAATTTTCAACTAAAATTATCAGGTGCCAGTTTTCAGTGAAACATGATACATACAGCTTCAGAGGGCTGACTGTTCTGTTTGAAGGAACTAGGCGAGTGTGTGAAACATTGCATGCAAGAGATAGAGCTCTGGAGATTTTAGAAGACCCATCCTAAGGAGGGAAGGGAGAGACCCCTGAGGTTCATGCCAGCAGATACACAGGGTGCAGAGTGTTGCCTTCAATGCTGCCAGGACGTTGGGGTGTGCTCGTCAATACCTTATGTCTCTTCCCATGTACCACACTATTGTGACCTGCTCTTACCACTGTGCCAAATTGAGTGTTTTTCTCAAGAAGGGACTTCCAGATGTTGCTACAGCACCATAAGTTTGCAAAGTATGTAGTTCATTGCTAATGCAGGAACATATTTCAGGCACTGTCAAAATTAATCAATATCCTTCAATATGGGACGCAACCGGCCTAGACTGAGAAGTCTAATGTGGGCAGCCTAGAGCAGCCTGTCACTATCCTTCTCTAAAAGGACAAGTTGAGACCTAAATGCATCAGATGAAAAGTGACAAAGTACAGAGGATACCAGAACAGAGTAAATCACAGAACCACAGAGTGGTTGGGGGAAGAAGGGACCTTTGGATATCATATAGTCCAAACCCCTTGCTAAAGCAAGTTCACCGAGAATAGGTTTCACAGGACCACATCCAGGAGGGTTTTGAGTATCCCTGCAGAAGGAGACTCCACAACATCTCTGGCCAGCATAGCATATATTCAGAACAGTCTTTTCCTTGTGGTATCAATGCAAAGAGCTTCCTGTCTATCATATGCTTTGTTAAAGTCAGTTTTTCACTGGAAATAGCCACTGGCAGGATGACAGCCTACACTTTGCTCCTTAATCTTATTGGCACATATAGTTGGCCAGAGTTTAATTAATATTAGATTGATTCATGACTGCAATCATAAATGATGAGAAAGTTCTAAGAAGGACTTGCATAGTCTAGACCCCTGAGATTTCTTATTTTTTGCTGTCCAAAATTTCTTTCTAAGTCTTCAAATATCTCTGACCTCTCTGGGCTGAAATTTGGAGGCAAGATGACTCCATAAATGCATTGGGAAATAGTACTTAGTAATGGACAAACCTGAATCAATGTGTCCTCTCAGCTCCTTTGGGATGTGGGTTAGCTAGCAGAGCCAGAAATTGTGCAATGCCCTGGTTTGCCTGGCTGCAACACTGCCCAAGCCCAGCATGCAGGAAGGTGGCCATTTGTGCCTGTGCAATGGGGAGAAGTGTCCATTCTGAATCAAATTAAAAAACTCCCTCTCAGCACTCCCAGGGTACACTTGGTGATGACTGTGCCTGGAGGCTTCTGCACAGCTTGGGGAGCGGGTGGGACAAGCCTGGGAAGGATCTGACCCACAACTGGCCTTGCATCAGGAGCGGTGCAAGTGAAACCCCAATGACAGCACCATCCTCTCTGTTCCACATCTGTGAGTGACGATACCACCAATGGAGAGCACAGGTACAGACCTAAAACACAACCACTCTCTTCCTATCCATTCCCCTGACTGTGCATCCTAATGTCTGGTGGCAACTGTTTTTTCAATATTATGCAAATATCCTGTTGAAGATGGATGAGACTGACTGGGGCCCAAGTCTTATGCACAGAAAAAAAATAAAGCTGGTTCTACCAACCAGCAGAGGTGATGGTCTGAATAATTCATTTAACTACAGCACAACTCTACAGTGACATGGATTTCAAGACAATAGTCAGTAATGTTTTGAAGGGCCTCCACAGCAGGGGAACTTGGGTTCTCTCTGTAAATCACAAGGGGCTGCATCCCTCAGAGGGCAGGGATGTACACTCTTCTGAGAGAAAAATCACTGCTTTTTGGAAATGTCACACATTACTTTTGCTTTTTCAAGCACACAAAGACATAGCCAGAGAAAGCACTGTCTAGGAGGCAAATTATGACTATGTTGAATAACTGTCTAGCCAATGAGATCTCCATAAACAGTTATTCAGATATGCCCTGTTCACACCTATCACCAACTAATTGCAACATGACTATAAGATCACCAGGACCGTATTGACATGTGAGGAAGTGATTATGAACACAGAGCTTCCTAAGAAGCAAGAGCTGTCCCACTTTTCACAATGATGTTGGAGAACAGAAATCTCTGCGGAGCTCTAATGGGCTACAGGGGTGAGCTGACAATAAGCACTCTTTAATTAAGCTCTTTGAGAAAGTCAGGCTCCCACTGGGCTTGTTGTGAGAGCAGCAAAGCTCCTGATTTATAGCAATTCAATGCCCAAGCTTCCTAATACTGATGTAGGACACCAAGTCACCAAGACCTCTTCAGTATAATTAAAGGCAGGATGTGCTCCCGGCTGGTGTATCGCAGCTCTGAACGGGAATGCAGGCAGGTGTATTCTTGAGGTTTGTCCTGTAGCTTATGTGGTGTGTGCTATATAATAGGTTGCATTGATGATGGTAAAAGCTCACTTAATTACAAAGGGGGAAGAAGTAGTGATGGGGAGATTATTCAGGATCTTCTGAGTTCTGACTATGCCACAAACTTGATGCAAAGTTTTGAGAAGCCTGAAGTTTCTCGTTTCCTCTTTTAAGTCAAGTGGAAAAAAATAATTAGGCACACAGGCATGCAGGGGTTAATTAGTTATGGCTTGAGTTTCAGAAATGCTAAGGAAATTTCAACTCATTTTTGCCAAAATCAGGCCAAACAGTGTTATATTTCTTGCAGCATTTCTTTATAAAGGGTAATATTACTCCTATAACCTAAATCTATCTTGGCCATCTCATCAGTGCTCTAGGCATTGATGCAGCACATGCAATGTCTGGATTAACTGCTGCCTAAACTAGTGCTCAAGCACACAAAGAGTGTTAGATATGCCACCAACCTCTGTGGCCTGTGACCACCAGCCACTCTCTGCTGTCCTTACATGCAGGTACATGAGGTGGTGCTGCCAGTGTCCATGGCTGGGAGCACCTTCGAGCCAACCACTGGCATGTAAGAAAGTCTGTCT